CCCATCACATGTGCTTTGCAAGTTCTTAGCAATAAAGTATCGTTATATTCACTAATTTAGCAACTTATACACATTTACCCGGTATTAGATACGACTTCCTCTCCAACAGTGAATGCAAAGTAAAAAAAAATGGGTAAAGAAAAACAGATAAAGGGTGGTGTTAAAAATTTAGTGATTAAACATTAAACATTTTACCGAGATATACGAAAAAATTTTGATAATCCTTTTGCAAGTGTGCAAAATATTGCTCGAAAGTAAAAACCTACAAGTCTGTTGGAAATAGGCCAAAATCTAGGCGTTTAAGGAAGCTATTCTAGCGAGATGCTAGGTTTATCACCAAGAAAGTGACAAAAAATCCTAAAATAATAAGGCTGAGTCTAAAATTGCGCCATCGGAAATAGAAAATTTGGTTATATCTACCCCACCTCGACTAAAGGCAGTTATAGAAGCATGAGGTGGGCCAACATAGTAATTAATATTTATATATATTTATTTTTAATTTGATTTAGTCAAAATATGAAATATTGTGTATTGTATTTAAACTTTTGTCCCGCGTGATTTCATGCTTTTAAAGAATTTACCGTTATTTATGCGACTTTGAATATTTTATAGATTGTATTGTTAATAAATTACCTACCTTAAGTAAACTGCTGTTTTACATTTACTCTAATATGCTTAATTTTAATAAAAAGTGGAATTTTATAGGTGTATTTAAACTTTTGTTTAAACTTATTATATATTTCATATAAATAGCTAAAAACATTCATTTAAATATTACACGAAATACATGTATACAGAGAAATAATTAAATATATATGTATCCATATATATACATATATACATATACACATATATAAACATATGTATACGTACAAATAAGTATTAAACAATTAAGCTAAGAAATCACCAAGCACTAGCAAAACGAGCCGTCGCTATTAAGTAGTGCAAAGAAGAACAGGCGATAGGCCTACCAACAAACGCAGTGCATAACTGTCCGCCTGAAAGCAAAATTTAGTAAAAAAGGAGCAGCATCAGAAGTGATAAGACACCTCTGTTTGTGCTGACGTAGATACAGTATACGAATACGAGTGACAGTGGCACACAATACATATATATAAAATAAAATAAAGTGCGAAGCACGACAACATTTAGTGGAGAAAAAAAATTAAAATGGGTAAAGTAAATTGGGCTTATTAACTCAACAAAGAGGAATTATTCAAATTCTCGACCAAGATCGGCCTATCGAATACAGGCACCGTCGACAAGTTACGAAAACGCCTCCCTACATTCCTGTAAGAGGAGGGCAAAAGCTAGAGTCTACGTGATCAGGTCACAGACTTATCGTTGAGACACTCGAAATTATCAGCAATAACAAACACGCCTAAAGCGAAGAAACAGGAATCGCTACAGGTGCCGCAGGTACAGCAACCCATTAACGACGACGGTTGTATAATCGAGGCTTATACCCACGCCTATCTACAGTTTTCCAGCTCATTAGTGAAGGACCGCGTTCGCAAGTGGGTTGTTAGGTATGACGGCGGCAAGGACTCACTGGACTTGGTCTGGCTTCGAAGTAATCACGCCAATGACAATTCCTTGGAGACATTCAACCGATACTTTTTAAAGTGTTTTCTGATTTCTCGTTATTTTGAGCGAGTACATGACGAAAACAGCCAACGACCAAAAAAGAATTTAGTGTTTTTGTACTCGCTCTCCAAGTACTAATGAGACATTCGGAGTACCCATGAACCCAAAAGCTCAAACGTATATACTGGAATTGCAGAAGCGAATACCAGCTGTATATAAAAAAAAAAGTAAGTTCCGTACCCTGACCGAACTGTTAAGTCTGGTCGAAGATTTTGAGAACATTATGCGGGAGAGAGGGCCACCGAGGGCGACATCCAGAACAATGATATCCAGGAGAAATGAAGAGCGCAACTATGCGATTAGTGAGAAACCGCATAGAGGAAGATATATTTTACAAAAAACGGCACTACGAAGAGCGTGATTATGTGCCGTCAAGAGAGGCGTTGATTCCACGACCACACCAGGTGAACCGGCAGCTTAGAAACGAAGAGCTTAGCCGAGAGTATCCACGAACGGCGTGTAGACAATGTGATCAACGTGGACACATCGCCTATGAGTGTCAGAACGCCATCCAACTGTCCGGGAAACGGCCAGTGATTCCACCTAATAATAGAGTTGACGTCGTCCACCGTCGACACAATTTCGTTCCGGACACCATGAGTTTTATGTCAGACAGAGGGGCGCATCAACACTCGGTACTGGAGCGACTCGAAGCTTCGAAACAAGAAAGTTGCAGAATCCCTAAAAGTGGGAGCAACATGAAGGGTTTTCAAGAAGGTGGTGATGGGAGACGGTAGACCGAGAGCGATTACCGAAGCAGTGGAAACAGTCATAGAAATAGGCGACGCAGAGCGCACGGGCGAGCTATTTGTCCTGCCAGGCTTAATCGACAACGTGGTCCTTGGCACAGATTACCTGGTAGAAACCAGAATAACTATTAGCTGCGGAGGGCATATAATTAAGTTAAAGGCAGAAGGCGAGGCACCATCGAAAACTACATACTCGACTATGAAGGTTTACGAAGGAAATGAGAGTAATACCGAACAACACGTTACTAAAAGGGATAAACCAATAAAGCAGGAGCTTTCACCGAAAACCCCAAATGAGCTGGGTACGTCGAAAAACAAACAATACACATTAGATTGTAAGATGAAAGAGCAGCCGAACAAAAGGTGGCTAAAGTTCCCGGACTACACGCTACAATGCGGAGAATTAATTATATCGCCACATATCAGTAAAAATAGACGAAGAAGAGGACATGGAAGCTTTGCGTAGCAACACCAATACGTCAAAAAGTAATCAACGAAGTTCATGACAGTCCCAATCTCGAATATAGGCATTAAGGAAACTACTGAAAAGGCAGCAGCACGATATTACTGGCCGAGAATGTTCAGGGATATCAAGAGGTAAATCCGACAGTGCCAGCCGAAAGAGCAAAGAGATGCGGGTACTGGCGAGACAAGCACAACTCCGGTAGTAAACAGGGCGACAAAAAACGAAAAAAAGAAACCGAAGAAGCACTGAAGGAGAGGAAGAAGCCGCAGAAATAAAAAAAAGAAAACACCAGAATTCGAAGAAGTCCAAGCAAAGAACAAGTGTCGAAGAAGAAGAAGCCGAATCGTCGGAAAAGAAGAAGCCGAAGAAACAAAAGAAGAAGAAGAACCAAAACTTGAAGAATTCTAAGCTTAGAACAAGGGCGAAGAAGAAGACGCCGAAGGATCGGAGGAGAAGAAAGCACACGAAGAAACCAAAGAGCAAGTCGAGAGAAGAAGAAGAATACCCGAAGAAGAAGAAGAAGAATCCTAAGAACTAGAGATGTAGAATCAGAAGAGAAGAGAAGAAGAAGACGAAGAAATAAAGAACAGGAGACAAAGAAGAAGAAGCAGAAGTATCGGTGATGAAGAAGAAGGAGCCGAAGAAACAAAAGAAGAATAAGAACCGAAGAAATAAACAGAAGTCGCAAAACCGAGAACAGAAAGGTAAGAAGTAAAGCCTAGCGAGCCGTCGCTGTTAAGTAGGGAAAAGAAAAGCAGGCATCAGCAGTGATAAGACACTTCGGCATTGCAATTCTGTAACTTTAATCGACACGATTTGTCGGATCGCAATGTTGCGAATTTTGTCGCTTGCGCTAACGATTTTGTGATTCTCTAACTCAGTTGTTACGATAATCGACATCGCACAATTCCATTTTATTAAAATGTAATTGTAGAATGGCTACGACAAAAAAAAACCGAACTACGATGCAGCAGCTAATTCGAATGATGGATTTTTTCGGAGAAACGCCGGATTTGGTAGGGTCTCGGTTCCAGAAGCTCCATGGAAAATCAGACTGCGATAGGAATTGCCTTGGTGGTGCTGTGAAAAGCGTCGAACAATGGCGCACGGTATGTAAATATTTTTCTGAAAAGCCGTACCAGCATCAAGGTCCGAGACCGGAAAAGAAAGCGGGCAATGACAGGAAATAATCCAATTGATGAGGAGCCACCAAATTGGAGAGATGAGTAATTGCTCTTATAGGTAATGACTATGTCCAGGGCCACGAAAACGTTCCTGAAACGATGCCTATAGAGGAGGTAATGAAAAATTAACAGTTTGGTATAAATATAAATGACTAAAATTCTCCTCAATATTAGGAATTGCAATTTCGATTATAGGAGGGTGAAGAAAGCATAATTATCGAGATGCATGCATCGACTACTGCGATTCAAGCCTCAAAAACTCCACGTAGAGACAGTAAGAGAAGACGTGTGGAAGATGTGAGCGATACACAAGCGAATGCTTTAAAAGTAAGTATTTTTAGATTTGGAACACATCCAGAATATGTTTTCATGTCGTTTCGTTTTTTTTCGAAAAGATGTTAGCAGAGTCGAGTGCAGCATCCACCCAAATTGCAAGCAGGCAAGCTGATGCATTGCAGGTAATTTTTTTTTTAAATGCTATAGAATTACATTGCAATTATTTGTATTATTATTTTTTTTAATAATTGTTAGCTGAAAGCAATGCGGCGACCCCGCAGGCATTGGCAGATGCTATGACCACAATGGGTGAAGGATTGAAAGCTTGTGCAGCTGCCTTCAACAATTTAGCCGACGCAATTAGCCGTAAGTAAATATAGAGTTATTTTAAACATAGAACACAAGAATTTCTTTTTTTATTTATATTATTCATTTAAGTTTTAATTTGAAAAAAAAAGTTTTGGAGAGTATTTTTTTATACTTGAGTTAATATCTGACTTCATATTAGATATACTATGATCAATTTCTCTTTACATACGTGTACATATATTAAAGAAGTAATGCAGTTATGAACATGAGAGATTCTCCTTTAAGAAACTTGAATACATATCTGTGATTATATACTGAGATATGTAATGAATTAAGTTGTATGTTGTATGTATTTTGCTGAGTTAACTTAACTTAAGTCCAAATGTTGAAAATAATGAGACTGAAGAATTTGTTACCAAAAATATGTAATAAAATTACAAATTATGTAAATTATATTCCGGAGATTTATTTATCAAATTGATATTTAATTGAAATAATTCGATCAGGTGATATTGGACGCGTTTTGCTTTGAGGATGGCGCCTCATAATTGAAATTGACTGTATTTGTTCTACTTTCTAGGAACTCTTGCTCAAGCTCATATATTTGGTCACCTATTCTAATGTTATGTAACACTGAGCTCGCATTGACTATTCTACCAGTGAATCCAGCATCGTACAAAAGAGTTCTTTGTTGAGATAGGCATCGCCAAGTTCCTTTGAGAACGCCAAAAAGTCGCTCGACTGGGTTTCGTGCTTTACACAATGCCTGATTGGAGCGGAATGTCGGGCTTCCTTGAGGTTGGTTTGGAAGAGGAGTCATTAACCACGGCTCTAATGGATATCCAGAGTCACCTGAAAATTTAATTTTTTCATAATTATTTTTAATATATGAGTTTTAATGGTTTTAAAAGTTTACCAATCAAAAACATATTGTGATTTCCATTTTCAAAACTGCGCTGCATCACTCTTCGCACTGTAGAGGAGCTTCAAATGAAAGAATCGTGCTTAACATTGACCGCCAAAATCTTGAGGTAAGGATCACATATCTATGTGAAAATATAATGAACTTTGTTACTACAATAGTAATTGGAAACAAATTTACTCTTATCATTTGCACATTGATGGAATGGTATCCATGGTGGTTTACATAAGCTTCTTCATGATTTTTGGGACTCATGATCGACACATGAGTGCAATCGATCCAACAAATGGTGACGATGATGAAGCAAAAATTTCCTTTGCAGCTTGCCGCTCTATTTGCGTCATTGGAAATCTAACCTTCGCAGAAAACATCGAACGGTTGATTGCGTCTGTTACGCGATGAATGCATTGGCTTACTGACGACTGACTCATGGAACAATGGGGGATTGTTCTCCGACGGGACGTTGATAGCACCCAGTTGCAAAAAATCGCAAGGCGGTTAGAACTTTTAAACATTTTAATAATACTGTTAAGACTAAAAAAAATATTGAAAAAATATATTATTACCTGTTTCTCCGTAGACAATGCTGTTATTCTTCTTCCTTTTAGTTGACAATCTAGGTGAGAAACGATTTCTTCAACTAAATCCGTCGTTAATCTATATAGCTGCCGAAATTCGGTAGCATCCAAATGAAATGGATCTTCCGCTTCTCGACGCAAACTTCTATCCAATGATGAAGGGTAGGATACCTCTTCATCTTGTGATAAATCGTATGCCAAATATTCAAAAGCCATTTATTTTATTATTTTATTTTTATTTTTGTTTAACTTAGACAATTTCCCGGACACTCTACTCTCTTATATGAAATAACAAAAAATTTTCGATATCGTTAACAACTTAAAAATATTCGTCACTTGGTTAACGATTTTTCGAGTAGTTTACGACAACAGCGAAAGCGAATATCGTTAAAACAAGTACACCGAATATTAAAATCGTTAGAATTATCGCTAAGTCTTCTTTGCGATCCGAAAATCGTTATACTATACTTTCAGAACTGCGAATATCGTTAAAAATATCGTTAAGTCTTCTTTGCGATCCGAAAATCGTTATACCATTTTAGAGAATAGCGATTATCGTTAAAAATATCGTTAAGTCTTCTTTGCGATCCGAAAATCGTTATACCATTTTAGAGAATGGCGATTATCGGTAAAAATATCGGTAAGTCTTCTTTGCGATACGAAAATCGTTATACCATTTTAGAGAATAGCGATTATCGTTAAAAATATCGCTAAGTCTAATTTGCGATCCGAAAATCGTTATACTGTGCTTAGAGAATAGCGATTATCGTTAAAAATATCGCTAAGTCTAATTTGCGATCCGAAAATCGTTATACTGTGCTTAGAGAATAGCAAAATCGTTAAAATTATCGTGAAGTCATTATAACGATCCGAAAATCGTTATAATACGATAGAGAATCCCCCAACTGTTTGTGCTGTCGTAGATAGAGCACATGGTGTGTCATGCAAGCCCTACCAATAGAGAATAGAGATAGAAGTAAATGGCTGACGTGAAAACGCTGTCAATAGAGATATACGGATGACGTGAAAACGCTACCAGTAGAATATTTAAATTATTTGGGAATCGAAATTATAGGAGAGACCCATAATCCGGATGAGAGAAAGGCCAGCTATAGACCGGAGAACCGGGCTCGTTACAAACTTTTGGATTTGACCCCAGTCCTTCCAAATGGCGGTCAACAATTCTAATCACTTGGATACCGTGGTCGCCATGGTCAGTTTAGACATTTTAAGCACAATTAACCTTTTATTAATTTCTGTGCAGTACACGATATTTACATTTACATGTTAATTACTATTATTATTTTACTTTTCTTATATTTTTTTTATTTTTTGATTGCTTTGTTATTTATACATGTATAGATTTCAGTGGTCTTCGAAGCTGGGCAACATCAACTTTGCTGGGATCACTATGTTGGTATCTGGGTTGGTTAATTCTATAGATACGAGTATATTATCTCTGTTTGAATTCGCCTTGCTAATACCTTCTTGTTTATTTGACTCGGCTCGTTGTTTATCATAATTTATATCTTATTAATTTATAAAATAAACTGATTTTAAATTTGTTGTGCTTTGCTTTGAATCACTATAGAAATGATTGCTTTCAAAACAAGTTTCTCAATGCTTTCGATTTTAACCGAGTTTTTTAAGATTTGAATATGCTCTAGCAGTGTAGAGTGTAATCGCTCAATATCAGAATTGCCCGTATGAGAATGTTTTAGTAAATTTAGCTATTGTAGTCAGAAAATATGTTTTGTGAATATGAAAAATATCTAAATGTACCATATCATGACCTATAGTTATTGTAGTATTTATTTATGATATTGAAAATTTTGGTTTAAAATATAAGTCTTTTAATTGGCTATAATTTTCATGAATAGCCCTATGATTTCCTTTTACATGATTATCCTCAATAATATTCAACAAGCATTCCTCAGACTCCATATCATCGGCTATTTTTGTACACTTAATAAACTTTTCATTTTCATTGCCTGAAAACAATTCAAATAGCTTTTTCTCTATTTCCTCATATTTATCTTCCGGAATTTCCGAAAATATTCCAATAGTGCCTTTCCTTATTTTCCTTCTAAATAAATCGTTCCAATAATGTGAACGGTTTATATCACTTTCTGTCACATAAATAATTTTGTATTTCTTGAAAAGTAAATCAGTTTTCTTGCTCTTATTTTTTACTGTTCTTATTTGTATTCTATATTTATTTAATATCCCGTCCGAAATATGAAATTTATCCCCTCCGTCGCTCTGAATATTTTTTTATCGAATTTTGGTAAACTGGAACTCGACTTAAATAGTTTGCCACTCTTTTCTATCTTCCATCAAATTATCCTAGAGTTTGGGTCTTTCATTGAGTACAGCCATTTCAACGGTTTATGGTTAGTTTGTACCAAAAATTTTCTACCATAAAGGTGTGGACGAAAGTATTTAATTGACCATACTATAGCCAGCAATTTTTTTTCCAGTTGAGTAATTTTTATCATGTCCATTAATGGTTCGACCAGCATAATACACTGGCTTATCCTCTTGACTCAAAACAGCTCCTATGGCTATTTACATTGCTGGCATCAGTAATTAAAATGAAATGAAGTTTGATAAAATATTTTTTAATATTTGAAATAATTCTATATAAAGCTGATCATTTAGATTTATTTTTGAATCTTTTTTAAGTGCTTAATAATAGGACTTGCAATTAGAGAATAATTTTTTATAAATTTTCGGTAAAACCCGGTCAGGCCCAAAAAGGATTTCATATCCTCCACTATTTTTTATAGCTTTATATTTTGTATAATACTAACTTTATCTTCGTTTGGCTTTATTCCCTTATTAGTGATGATATGACCCAAGAAATGGGTTTCCTTCGATAAGAATTTACACTTATATATTTGGACTTTCAAATTATAGCTATCAAGTGTAGTGAATATTTTTTGCAAACTTTCCATGTGCTCAATAAGAGAAGTTGAAAAGATTAAAATATCATCCATATAGCTGATACAAATATTGTTAATAAAATCGGACAATATATGATTCATCACCCTTAGAAACGTGAATGGAGCGTTTTTCAACCGAAACGGCGTTCTAATATATTCAAAATGTCCTCGCGACATTGCAACTGCAGTCTTTCAATATCCTTTTCATCCATTAGAAATTGGTGAAAACCTTTTGCAAGGCCTAATGATGAAAAGTACTGCGCTCTATCCAACTTGTCGAATAATGATTCAGTATTCGGAAGTGGGCGCTTATCATCTACAGATTTCATTTATTTTTCTAAAATCGATTACTAAACGCCATTTTTGCTCGCTAGGATTAGTGGACTTTTTTAGCAATCCACAAGGGAGAGTTATACGGTGACTTACTATGTCTGATTATGTTTCCCCTAAGCATTTCGTTGATTTGACGATTTATTTCACTTTTAAGATTTAAGTTTGTCTGTAATTTTTGCAGTATATGGGCTTGTCAGATGTAGTAATTATTTTGTGTTTTACACAATCGGTAGTTGTCAATTGTTGGCCTTCAATATAAAATGTTCTTTTATTTTTATAAAAGAATTTTTTCAAGATTTTGTTTTCCTCTAAGTTCAAATCAAGAGACTAGTCAAACTCTGCAAATTAAGTTTTTTCTAAATAACTGATTTTCTCATAGGCAAGGTTAAAAGTAAAATTAAAAAAAATCTTTATTATTTACTGTCATTGTTTTTGTTTTGAAATTGTTGGATATAAAATGCCTAATATGCAATCAAACGTATTATCAATAAAGTTGGTTAATTTAACGGACATTGTTTTCTCACTGCATTAAACTCGCTTGGCACATTTACAATTAGCTCTTCTTTTACGATATTATTTTCAGTTAGGGTGTTTAAGAAAATAGGTTTTTTAAAGTTCCTTTTACGCCCATATTAGAGAAAAACACATTATTTCCTAATGTTGTAGCAGCTTCACTATCAAAAAGACACCATATTTTGACATTATTTATAGTTAAAGTAACTATGGGTAGTTCGGTTCCCGAGGCAGTAAATGAAAATTTTGGGTGGCATTCATTACGCCGATACCCATGGATTCATGATTTGGGACATTATTAATACATCTATTTTGGATTTGTTGCTGATCTAAATTAGTACTTTGTAAATTCTTATTATTTCTATTAAAACTATTTGGCAGACTTCTAAAGCCTCCGAGGGGTGATCGGAAATTTTCGCTATTATTTATATTATTCTGACCATAATTGTTTCCTCTATAACTGTTGTATTGATAATCACAATTGCGAAAACTGTTGCCGCTTTGATTATTTGAGTTTTGGGAATTTCCATTAGAACTTTTATATCCAGCTAAGAAATCATTTCTATTTTGAAATTGATTCATTGCAAAATTATTATTATTAAATGATTTACTATCATTTGGAAATTGGCAATTATTTAGAAAATTATTATTATTTGGGATATTATGCGCTTGTCTTTTACTCACTAACGTTATGTCACTTAATATATTATTTTCTATAAAAATGTATATGTAGAATTTTAAAGTTTATA